TGAAGGTGGGAAGAGCTTGACTGGCCATGAAGAAAACATGAACGTCTTTGTGGTTTTTAGATGTGTATCCTCCTGATGCTGGAGCCTCAGCAGGAGCCCAACCCACCTCCATAAATTGGACTTCATGGAAATGAGTGCAGAGATTGTACCCTTCTGCTGAGCCCCTGACCTCTCTGTACAGCCCATCTTCCATGGGGCCAATCCCCCTGGAAGCCAGTGATCCACACACAGCCCAGGTGAGCCCAGAGGGCTCTGTGCTGGACTCACTTCAGCAAAAACAACCACACACCTGAGCTGGTGCTTGGGCAGCCTGGTTCTGCCACGAACCCAAAGTGCTGAGAAAGAGTGAGCCTGAGTTTGGAGTACATGCTAAGGATTTAGGAAAATCAGCTCCTGACTTGCCTTGTTTGAGCTCCTGTAAGCCAGGAATGCCTGAGGAGAAACTACAGCCCTGCACCACTCAGCTTTGGGAAGCTGGAGAGCACATGGAACGGGAGAGGTGGATTCAGTGAAGCAGCACAGCTCCTGTGCACACAGGGGACCTGGCCAGGGGTTGTAACAGATGTGTTTTAACCCATGTCATGGAGCTATTTGGGATCTGCCTCCAATTGCTCCAGCGCTCATTCACGTGTCTTCCTGACGAAAGACCAACAACAACAATTAGCATCATGTAAGGAGCAGGGGACTGCTGCCAGCATTAACACACTCTTGAGCACCAAGGATTTTCCGTCCCACTTTTTATCCCAGCTATGCACACGGCAGAGGTCACTCTGCATTAATCAGCCTCGCTCCAGGCCAGCTCCTACAGCACGTTCAGCCTGTGGGATTGCAGCCACTGCCTCTCCATGCTCTGATGGGCTCTCCCTGCTCCACATCCCTGCCTTTTTCCTTAAGCTCACCAAAAAAGGGATGTTCTGTGTTATCCCAAGCTGAGCCTGGCCATGCTGTTGATGGCCTGCAGACCCTCAGAGGGTGACACTGCCTGGGCAGGAGCTGGTGGGTCCTGGCTGCAGATGGGAGCCTCGTGTTGTCATTCTGAGCTCTGACTGAATCCCCTCCCCTCCAACAGCAGTCCTGAATCTTCAACCCCTAGGAAGAGGTTTCCACCTTTCCAACACCCCTGAAACGTGCTCTCCCAGAGCCTTTGGGCTGGTTCATGATCACCCTGGGGAAACCCCATCTGAGCCAGCAAAGGGAATGTAAAGGCTTCTTCACAGCACATGAACACACTCCAAGGAAAGGCTCTGGAAGGAATCCTGATGACTTCCATATTATTTCCAGTAAATTTTGTGCTGATTCTTGGCACAAACACTGGAAATGAATAGGCTAGGTCAGGAATGTAAATAAAGTGAAACATTGGGATTTAATCTAATCTATAATTATAGTATCTGTGGTGCAGGGAAGCAGTTGGTGTGTTTGCACTACAGCTCCATTGAGGAGCTGGAGGGGGTTTTTATTTCCCTTTCCAGAATTTCCCTTTTTGGCTGAGGGATACTTGGTGTCTCCCCAAGTATCTGAAGCAAACGTGCTGGGCTGGCAAAGCTGCCTTCTGGTAGCCAAGCAGGTACAGCTCAGCCATGAGGCATCCCCAGGCACTCCCTGAGCAATGGGGTGAGAGTCGAGATGGATGAGCTGGGATGAAGGCTCAGGGAGGCTGTGGGGTGCCCAGGGGAAGCTCCTGCCTCCACAGTGAAGAGACGGGATGGGTTTGTGGGGTGCTCAGTCCTCCAAGCTGTGTTTGATCTCTGAGACAAGCCAGAGCCCTTCCTCCTGACTGTTGTTTTGTTTTTAGTTCATCACAAGCTGCCTGTCAAAGTCGGGTGCTCCCAAGGCTCCCAAACCATCCCTCTGAGTGGCACTGGCTGCTGTCCAGGCTGGCTGGTCCATGCAAGGTGAGCACTTCACAGACACATCGACATCTCTCCCTCTGCCCTCCTCACCTCATTCTCTTACAGATCCACCTGGGGGGAAGCTTGACAGACAGCTCTGGTCCAGCTGACCTCAGGGGAGAGCAATACCTTCTCCATTTCACAAGAATATAAGATTTCTGCTTTTTACGAACTGCAACAAAACTCAACAGTCTTCAAGGACCATCCTCAGTACCCATGCATAGGTCCCTGGGAGTACATTCCAATGAATGCAGCATGGATCTCCATGGACGTGCACCCATGTGTGGCACACTGGCAGGGGTGTCCACACGTGTACACGAGCCTTTGGAGCATGTGTCTTTGTTGACATGATCTACTTGCCCTGGAAAACCCTCTATGCAGGGACTGGCATCTTAGCCCCAGTGTGCTAAAGGCAAGGGGAAGAAAAGGGCTGACAGGCAACATATTTTCCTCAGACTGAAACTGAAAAGGACAAAGAAATTAGTTCTCCTTTTGTTCATTTATGTTTTGGAATTACAGAAGTCTTAAAAGCAAAGGAATCAATCAGACTTTGTTTATTTGTTTGCTTGTAGAACATTTTTTTGGGTTTGTTTTCATACTCCAGCCCAGCTTTGATCTCAGGCTGGTAGTACTCCAAATGAATGGTCCACAGCAGAGGGTAATTGCTGTAGGTACTACAGAAGAAAAGGACAGGATGTTCGACACATTTACAGGGCAGAAGAGACTTCCATGACCTCCCAGTCCCCTTGCTAGGGTTATGTGATACCCTCAGACTACTGCAGAAGCAAATAATTTGTTTTTGAAGAGCTCTAATGCTGCAGACTGTGTGCTTACCTCCCAGCCTAGAGAACAGCACAGAGCCCTGTGAGTGGCTATAATCAGGATTATACCCAGCCCAGAGCTATTATAGATAGCTATTTTTCCACAGAAACGAATGAAACAAGCAGAAGAAATTCAATTTAAGAAATGACCCCGTGCCCGTGTTTGTGTTGTTGTTCTGTCTGTGAGGGCACAGAGCAGCGTTAGCCTCACATTTCACTGCTCTGGCTTTCTTCACGCTGTGTTGCAACCGTGCGGACATCTGAGCAGAGGAATATTTAATGGGGGTGCCTTTGTATCTGAGAATGCTCAGTAAACATGCTGGGCAGGGCCCAGGTTGCAGCAAGCGGGTGTGTGTTGGGCAGGCAGGACCCATGGCAGCTCATGCCAAGGTGGAGCAGGGGGTTATCGGTCCATGCCACGTGCTGGGGCAGGCAGCAGCAGCCAGAGAGGAGGGGGTGCTGTGGTGTGCCCACATGCAATCTTTTTGGGTGCCCAGGAAGGTGGGTCTGCGCCCCAGAGGTGCCCACACAAACGTGTCTGTCCATGTGCGCTGCGTGCACCGCCCCAGGAGTGGAGAGCCAAGCCCTGCTGAGCATCGGCTGTGGGACAGAGCCAGAGCTGTGCGTCACCCTGGGGCCTGTCCCCACACAGGACAAGCTCCAGAGCTCCCTGGTGCCAGGGGACTGCTGCCTGCTGGCTGCCTGCAGCCCCCACAAAAGCTGCTGTCCCTTGCCCAGGGGCATGCACAGAGCAGGAGCCACGCCCAGGGCACAGGGCACTGCCAGCTCTGCTGGCACCTCCATGGCAACGTGCCTTGGGGCTGGGAAGCAGAAGACTGGCTTTGACCACAGGGATGACAAAACCCTGGACAAAGCCCTCTGCCTTCCACCCAAGGCTCTCCCAGCCCTTTGCAGACACCAGGAATTCGATCACAGAGCCCCTAAAGGGACGGGTGAGTGCAATTACCCCTGCCTGGCAGATGGGGAAGATGACTTGGCAGCCCAGGCTGCCCAAGAGCCAGACCTGCTGGCTCCCAGCTCTGTGTGCTCACCACGGCAGCAGCCCCCACCAAAACCAGTGGCTCTTCCCTCTCCCAGTGCCCCTGGCAGCTGGGAGCTGAGAGCTCACAATGGGTCAGTTTTGTGGTGCTGGGTTATTAGCAAGCTCTGTGGTTGCTCCAGTCTCTCCCTGACACCTTTTCAGAGCAGCCCAGTCTCCATAGATATAAATAATTATATTTATGCATTATATATATATTTAACAAGAAAATATCTGATATTATTAAATGGCAAGAGGTATCACTTGGAGACCACTCCTGGAGACAGCCCTGCTCCAGGGATGTGCAATAAAGGCTTTGGAGGCTGTCAACATACTTAACTGGGGGGCGGTGGAGGGAAAGTATTAATCAAGGTCTTAAAAAGTTCTCGCTGACAGTCTATTTGCCAGCTCTCACTTTAAATGCTTTTGTGGTCCCATAAAAAGTTTCATTACTCACTACAAAATGTGTTTTAATTATTGCAGTCACTCTGACATTAAGCCCTGGGTGTTTCTCTCTTGCTTACTCTGTCTCTCCTCTGTCTCCTTGCCTCTTTGCTCTATTTTTCCTCTCTTACTGATCTGACTCCTGATATCCCTCTCAAGACAGAGGATGCCCTGTCTAATGAGCCAGATTGGAAAGCCCAGACCCTGTCCAAATGATTCTAAAGGAGAAGTTAAAATTCAGTTCTCGATATTATCCCTTTGCTCTGGAAACTCATGAATCCACAAGATTCAAACAGAAAATTCAACCCCCGAAAAGTATCTCAGAAGAGTGAAATGTCCACAATATGTGGGCAGTGGGAAGAAAGATTTGGTGTCTCTCTGATGTCAAATATATCCTGCTAAGGGAAACAGCAACTTATAAACACGTGTCATACTTTTGACATCTATTTCATTCCACCAGGCACTTGGCAACTTGCTCCAATCTGACCACATCAGAGACAACCCTGATGTCTCTCATCCATCAGAGACAACCCTGTCCACTGGGCATGGACCTGGAAACCTAGAATGCTGAAAGTAGCTGTTATCCTGGAGTGTCCCATGGACTCCCAGTGCCCCCAGCACTATGCTGGGAGACACTTGTTTTCCATTTCACCAGCTGTGTGTAACATCCAAAGCAACAGGAAGAGTCTGACCATTTGTCCCGTGTCTGGTGTAACACAGTGCTGACCAAAAAGGTGATTAACAATTCAATAACAGCATTGGAGACCCCTCCTTGCCCCCAGCAGCTCCCCACGTGTCGCTCCTTACTTGTACAGACCATCTGGTTCCAGGCACTTGAAAATGACTGAATAGAGGCTGGTTTCAGGGACATCTCCGTGGCTCCGACCCGCTGCCACACAGGAGGTTGCCAGGCCAGAGAGCAAATCATCTGCAAAGCTCAAGGATTCTCCTGCAGAGCAAAGAGAGGAGCGAGACCAGAGCATCAGTACAGGTGTAGAATTACTGCTGACCACTTAAAAATCACTGCTGGAACATCTCTACGCAGGACACGCAATGAACAAACTCCAGTTGGCTGTGGCTGTGGAACGCCCCAAGTCAGTATGGAGAGTGTCACCTATGGACACAGCAAGAAGGAAACACACCTGGGCCACCAGCTGTAGCAGGAATGGGGGCCAGGGCTAAGTCACTGCACAGCGAGCTGCAATCACAGCACAGAGGGGATGTGTGACCTCACTGCAGACACTGCAGGCAGAACCACCATCCAGAGGTGGGCCACAGAAGATCTGGAAGCCTGGCTAAACAGGAATCTCCTGCCCTTGCTGCATGTCCAGTGCTTAAACAAAGCATGGTCTTTTCCAAACATTACCTGCCACAGCAAAAGATGTTTCTGCCATGTTGGACTAACAACAAAAAATATATTTTTAGTGCTTGGGTGGAATTGCTCTCAATGTGATTTTTTTTGTTTGTTTGTTTTTGTTTTTAATTTAATGACAGTCAGTAGCTTTGCATTCTCTTTCATCTGCACTCTGCCAGCTCCTGGAGCTCTGACTGGATCTCCTTCAGTTGTGCTGAAGAACACTTGTTTTTTTATATGCATTCGAAGAAAAAAATCCCCACTAATTAAAAATATGGAAAACCCTTTCTTTTTAGTCTTGTAGTTTATAAAGCCTGTTAAACACTTAGATCATGACCCAGCTGAAACTGAAAATGCTCCATTTATTAAGGTTTTTGGGCATGACTGTCCACTGCTGTGCAACCTGTCTCCTCGCAGTGGGCAGCCTGTCTGTTGGTTAGAGCTCATTGCATTTAATTCCCATTTCACACTGGTGTAACTGAAAGCCTGAGGTACCACGGAGGCAAATGAGACAGAGCATCTGCCCAAGCTGTGCCCTATTCCCAGTGGTGGGAATCGGAGCAAGGCTGTTGTAGGTGATAGCTGTGCTGGTGTAAGCCAAGCTGGGCCCAGATTGCTGTGCCAGGTACCTCGTGCATGTGGAAATGTCAAGACATCGCAGCGGAGGGAGAAAGAGAATTCCCTTCTCAGCACTTCTGTTTTTCTAAAGGCAAAAGTGACCGAGGAGTACTGAAATGAAGCACCAGTTCTCGGTACAGACCCTAAGGAACAAGCCAGTGGTATAACTGGCCCAGAACATCCCACTGTGAAGCTGAATTATCCAGGTAGAAGAAAAAAAATCCCCTCATCCCCAGCCCCCTAAACCGCATTTGCGTCTTGTCTCAAAACACACAACTCAGTAACAAATATCCCCCTTGGCTAGAGAAAAGAGCAGCAATAAATTCTTTTCCTCCCTGAAGGAATCCAAGCCTTAATTATTCATTTTAATGCTCCCAGCATGACTTGTTCTTTCCAAACTTTTTCAGGCAGCTCTGTCACCAGTCTCTGTAGCTCAACCCTGCTCCTGGATGCAGGTCTGTCCCAAATCCCAAGACAACTCAACAGGCAGGTTGGGTTGGCAGCAGGAAAATCCTTGCCTGGAAGTCACGAGCACTGCCCAGCCTTCAACAAGTCCCTCAGCTCTGGGTTTATGGTTTAAGCAAACAAACAAACCCCTATTACTCATTTCCAATTTTCATTTCCATCCCTTTTCCTGAAACATTGGGCTGGATTGGGGAACTCCCTATCACCAGAAGTCATTGAGAACAGACTCTGCCATGACTTAAAAACCTGATGAATCACCAACAAAGAAGAAGGACCAGAATGTGTTGCTGAAGTAGAGCAAAGGGCTTTAAGGCTCTTTCAGCCTCAAGCAACTTCCCTTCTGACCAAGAAGAAGCTTCATAGGGGGACAGCTCATCCCATGGATGAATTCTGTGGGATCTCACATCTTCCTCTAAGCAGCTGATGAGGGCTAGGAAAGAAAATATCTGGGCAAGGACTGCAGTGAGAGCTGGGCAAGGTCAAGGGGACTTGGAGTCCAAGATTTGGACTGGGCAGCCCCCAGGTAGGATCAGCCAGGATATCTGTGCCAGGGAGCACAAGAGATGGGATGGGCTGAGACAGGGAGAGGGTGGAACCAGACTTGCAGGAGACTGGAAATGAGATGGAAAATGTCATGTGCAACCACTGAATCAAAGAATGTATTAAGGCCAGGTTGGACGGGGGCTTGGAGCAACCTGGTCTGGTGGAAGGGCAGGACAGGCCCAAGGCAGGGCGGTTGGAATGAGATGATCTTTCAGGTCCTTTCCAACTCAGACCATTCTATGATTAAAACTGCACAGCTAACTTTGTCTAGGACACATGCTAACATTTGAAAGCTTATATTCCATGGTCTTTCTGGGTAGTTTTGAGGGAACAGGCTGGCAGGGAGCACTGCCCTGACACACATCAGCAGCTGCTTCCCACAGTGGTGTGGTTTGCCATGGATCAGACCTGCTCAGGGAGTGGAGTGCATTTCTGTCCCCCTGCACAGGAGGAAATGAAGATTGCAGGGTCTGCCAAGAGGGTCTCCACTTGGATTGAGCCAAAACCCTTACAATAAAATCCACAAAGCAAGAGGGTGCTTTTTGCTCAGTCCTGAGCCTCTGGGGAACTCTTCCCTGTTGCTGGCTCTGCAAAGCAAGGAGGTTATTATGAACACAGCAAAATAGATACTAACAAAGATGCTGGAACCTCAGCCCGAAGGCTGGGAGTTTTTGTACCTGAACAAGCAGCAGTGAGATCACTGGTCGTGCCAGACTGCACAGACCATGGAGCAAAGACAGGGAAGGGACACCGTGGGGACAAGGCAGCTACCCAGAGCTGTCAGTCTGCAGCCAGTGCAGGGAGCTGCTATTCCATGCTCTCCCCCGGGCAAAGCAGAGCACACAGAGACCGTATTTGTTCATCTCACAAAAGAGAAGGCAGAGACCCTTCCATCCTCAGTGCTCTGAGAACAGCTGGAATGAAATTTCCTAAGCCTTCTTTAGCAGCAGAAAACAAATTATTCCCTAGATTTAGACTGGGACTTTGTCAGTGGAACAGAGCTAAAGCAACAGCAACAGTTGCTTTTGGTGGAATGGTGAGAGAATTATCATAAATCAGAGAATGGTTTGGATTGGAAGGGACAAGAAAGGTCATCCCCTTTTACCTCATCCCCCAACCACAGGCAGGGACCTTCCACTAGACTAAGTTTCTCCAAGCCCTCTCCAACCTGCCTTTGGACACTTGGGCTACTTGATTGACCAGTAATGTTGCCCTACCAAGAAAAAATTATCCCGGGATCATGTAGCAGCAGGAGAACACTGACCCAGCTGCATGAGACCACGTGAGGACTAAGTGCACAGCATTCCTCAACTGTGCTCAAGACCGAGGCACAGGAAAAGGAGTGAAGATTTCACAGGGAAAGAACAAAAAGCCCAAAGTCCCTAAAACAACAGGAAAAAAAGGCCAAATAGAGACACATGACTGTGATCACATCAACAGGGCAGGCACTTAGACGGAAAAGCAATAGTTAGGTTAATGGACAGTAATGGCAAGAGGATGTAAATTGGACATGGATAAATGGTTGGGCTATTCCTGCAAAGAGCAAATAACCTAACCGTCTTTTAGGAAGGAGTTTGATCACTTTATGACAGGGATTACATGGATAAGTAGCTTGTGATGGAAAGCAAAGGGGCTTCTTTTTCCCATCTGGACTTGTGTTCTGACACATCCCGCCAGCAAATATAAAGAAGGATTTCAGCCTCCCAAAGCAGCCCTGAAGCACAAACCTTCTAGACTGCCTGAGTATCTTTGCTTGTGTTATTAAATTTCAGAAAGAATCCAAAGGTTCTCTGCAGAGTAAATGATAGCTAAGTAGATCATCTCTGTGGAGTAGGAGATATTTTATTGACCAGACAGACATCTGTGTCCTTCATTAATAGTAATAAATAATTGATGTCATACTAAATAAAGCAATAAGCTGTTACAGATATCAAGGACAAATAACTGGCTCCTATGAGGATGCCTCACCTGTGTTCACTTCTCAGTAGTAAAAAACCCAGAACACAGCTCAATATCACTATGGAAAATGCTGTGCATAGAGCAAAAAATGTCACTAGCTGCTCATTGACTACAAATTATGGAACAGTTATGCTCAGCAACGGGATGCCTACACTCCTAAGTGCAAGAAGTTAATATCCTTGCAAGACTTTGCTTCTCCCTCATTTCCATGCCTTCCCAGGGCTGATCTTCCCCAAACCATCCACTTCCCAGGTAGCTTTTGAAAATCCATCTCTGCTCTACTAATAACTGTCAGGAAGATGCAGGTCCCTCCAGGTGGCATTTCCCTTCTCTCCCCTTGCTACTGCCTTGTCCTCATCCACAGGCATGGCTGTGGAGCTTGGCAAATCTCTTTTTTGTTTTCTAAGCATCTTTTACACTGACTCTGGTGGCTCTCCTTAAAACAGAGGAAAATAACAGCAAACTTGGAGCTTGCAGAGGGGCTCCCATTCTGGGAAGCTTTGCAGACTTCTCCTGGCCACAGCAGGCATAGCCAGGGGTCATCCCACTGGTGGCACTCTGGGATAACCATCCAGGAACTCAACTCCATTTCTGGAGGAGAAGGAGGAGGAGGAGGAGGAGGAGGACATCCCCAGCTCAGCTGCCTGTCTGCAAGGGTGAGCAGGCAGTGTGCTCTCCAGAGAGCACATTTCTCATGGCAGGAGGCTCAGACGGGCAGGAACGGGGGCTGAGGAATGAAAATGGCTGGGAGCAGGCTCAGACCGCTCGCACACAGCATCCAGCAGCCTCAGTCTGCCTCAGTCCTTCCACTGCGGCCGTGCCAGCGCCCTGCAGTTGCGGACAGCAGGCTGGATGAATCACCTATCAACCATCCCACCGAGGACAGGGCGAGCTACGGCACTGAGTTCAACCAGACTAAACAAGAGAGTGAGGCCAGCAGCCTCCAGGAGGCTCGAGGAGCAAAAGGAAGCTCTGGGACCCTCACAGGCATTCCCACACCTTCAGCCCAT